AAAGTTAGCCCGCGATACTGACTTAATTGCCCCTGCGACTACGCCTGCCTTATCAGAAGTGTCAGTAGTTTCATTCAATAATTATGTATGGTATAATTGTAGCGAGAACATTATAAATCAGTTTTAATTTGTTTTAATAATATAGACCACGTCCTGTCCAACCAAGAGTGAACCCAACTCGTTGTGTTTTGTTAAAAAATATGTTTAATCCTGAAGAGTAAGTATGAATGTATTAATGTTGTCCAACTAGTCATATAATGTTGATCATGTTCTATTGGCTTCAAGTTGTGCTTGAAAGTCAAGACAAATGGCAACACTAGGGTCTATAATTGATTGCGATTCAATAAATTTTTAAAATCTGATTATTTAATTGACTATTTCAGAGAAACTGAATCAAATTGGGCCGAAGAACTTGAAGAAGACGTAAAAGGAGAATGCGTCAAATATGGTGCTGTTGTACATATTAGTGTTGACAAAGAATCAGAAGTATGTATTTGGTATTAAAACCGAAATTTCATTAAATTTATTTTACATTGACACTAAGACCATAATCATTTTTAAGGGAGATATTTATATGAAATTTGATAATGTCGCGTCCGCTAAAAATGCAGTGAATGGCCTCAACGGACGATGGTTTGGAGGCAATCAAATCACGGCTGTGTTTATTCTCGATATGTTTTATAACGCTCGATTTCCAAAAGCAGCAAATCTATGATACTTCGCGGTGTTCGAGATGCTTGAAAAAAAGAAAAAAAAAAAGAAAAAAAAAAAAAAGAGAAAAAAATAATAATAATAATTTTAGCTTAAATAAGACTGATCGATAATTATTTGTGGATAGTTTTTAGGTGTTTAACGTTGAAAGTAGAGGACGACTTGCCATCAAATGAAGGAAATCCTTACATTCTGGGTGCGCCGCTGAGAAACCGTAGCAAGAGTAATTTGTTCATATTTGTGGTTCATTGTATTGAAACACCCGATTTCTCATGTTTGGCATGTTGAATTTATTCTTTATACAGTAGTTTATGTGGAAAATTACCACTTCGCGAAGCTATCATTATGATTACATACATACACTAAGGGTTGCAAGAGAAGTTACATTTTTTCCTACTTCATTTTTTTTTCATTTAATTCCTTGCGTCCTTTTGGTTTTTATTGTATCTTTCTGTTGATCGTGGTCGTAGGATAAACTCTCAATCGCAAGGCCAGTAACTTTCGAATAAAAATTGCTACTATATGACAGGTGTGCCGTGGAACGAATTCCAGTATCGGATGCCGTTGTCAATATGATTTTTACTTTTTTTTTTTTTTTTTACCTTTTTTTTTCGATACCGACGAAAGATTATGTCGAGACAGTATCGCAACTATCATAGTAAACGGATCTTAACCGTATCGCCAGCATTTTACCGTGTATCTCATAACTATAATTATGGCATGTGGATAAAAGTGAACTAGTAATTATTAATAGTCTATTTTATATTGCCAGGTAATTTGTACACCGAAAGAAAAAAAAAAAAAAAAGAGAAAACCCAGAAAAATGGACGCCAAATCGCCGATTTTTATATATTAGTTACATAATTTATGATTAATCATCTTTGTATACGTATATAAACTCGAATGCAATTTATATGTTTACTATATTTATGATAAATGGATCATTATCAGTTATGATGACGATTTCGTGGGTGTTGTGACTTTCAAACATATACAAAATTACCAGTGAGTGACCTATAAATTGCCCGTATCCTTGTGATGTCCAAGCACACAGCGCACACTCAAAATTTAGAGTTGGATTTTTTTACCGACTCGGCCAAAGGCAACCAAAATATAAATCTATCTCTACCATTGCAGGCGCACCGCGCATCATACAAAATATTAGTGTACACACACGTTTAGGCTTTTTTAAATAAACCTAGTAAATCACCTTTAAAACCCAAGGATCTGTCAAATTCGTCTGTGACGGTGACCCCCGAATACAATCTTTTCGATTGGTTGTAAAACATTCTTTTGCTTTATAAAACTTATTTGCATTATTTGATTTAAGTTGGCGATTATCAGATGTCTGAAGCCGAGGACAGTACACTTGAATCAAGCGAGTTTGGCAACCAAGCATCTGCTGATTCAACAGAGTTAGACGGTAGCATCCAAACGCCTGCAAGAGATGTAGATAAAAAGGATTCTGATGACGCGATAAAGGACGAAGAAAAGCCAATCAACATGTCTTTTAATACGAAATCGAGAAACATAATTCGTTATACGAGAGAGCAATTGTTGGAATTGCGCGAAAGCCCACTTGTTAAAAAACCGGACGCTCTACCACCAATTAGTTCGTGGTTTGGGTAAATTTAAAGCATTTATTCTTTTTCACCTTAAACATTAATTCGGTAGATCAGCAACCCCTGTTAGCACCTTTTTTTTTTTCTTGCATAATTCTTATCAGTTTTTTATGATCAATTGTTCTTGAATTATAAGAACGGACAAGTCCATTGCATGGTATCAATTCTGATTATTGATTTTATTTAAGGGAGCCGGTGGTAAAGAAAGAAAAGAGAAATAACACTGACGGTGTTCAGGATAATGAAAAAGGGTATTCATCAATATATTTTGCTAGTTGATAATTCAAGATGATTACAGTTGATGACGACTTTTTAATTTAGCAAACAACTTGGTCAAAGCTTCGTTGATGGATTAAATAAGTCCAAAGACGACTTGACTGCAGGTATTTCGAAAAGCCCCTTAATAGGATCTTCAAAAAGTCCTAACGGATCGGAGCCAACATCTCCCAAACCATCAGGCATGTGTTGAACTTGCTAATAAATGGTTTCTATAGATTAATGATTAATAAATTGAATCATCAATTAAAAATTCAGATAAAATTATTCTTGGACCTCCTAAAACGATTTTCGCTTCATCTTCTGTTGGAGGATTAAAAAGCGCAGAAGACAAACCAAATCAGGCTAGAGCTGGCAGGTCTGATGGAATGCGACAACGTCAAGTGAGTGTTCTTTTGGTTTCAAGCTCGTCCTTTCAAAATTCAATTAACAATATGCCGATATCAAATGTTAGGATGAATATTCGAGGGCTGGAATTAAGGATTTTGAACCCCGGGCTCCTCGTGGTCCTACAGGTGAACGAGGTTTCGTTGGTAGGGAAGCTCTGAGGGAACGAGCTCTAGCGGATAAAGCACTCAAGGAATCAATGGGATCATCGCATAATTCTCACAGTCGTGGTTTAGGCCATACAAGATCTCAAGATACAAATAGGAACAGCCGTAGAGATGGTGATGAAAATTTGGCCAGTCCTTTTAATATTTCTATATTATCAGATTTTAATATTTGTTTCGTTTCTGCAGGTGGTGGCGTATCTGGGAGGGACCAATTGAGCAAACCCAATTTTATCAGACATTACCATTCTGAAGACAGATCCGAGACGCCTAAATGGA